ATATATAGAGACTATTTCCGATTAATTTTAATAATTCTTAAGTGGTCCTTCATTTATTGGGGGGCACTGTATATATCGATAGCAATTGTATATATGTGTTTGATAGCATATCTAATAATATATATATAGCATATTTGATAGCAATTATATGACATTCTAAAATAATATGACTAGATAGCATTTTTGTAATATAGGTTATATACATATTTGATAACATATTATATAGTATATCCAGATAACATATATATAACAAACTAGGTACTATATATTCTGGTTATATGTCTTCACAAATATCAACATGCAACTGAATGCATTATCAGATATATTTTTTTACTCATGTGACCTGACAACAGTGGTCAACTTTTGATATTAGACAACATATGAACTATTATAACCTATCTCGAGTAGCTTCTTATATTCAAAATCAAATATAGTCACTATATACTATATAATTTTAAATAATGAATTTAAAAATCTAGAAGCTTTAAAACATTATATAGAGTAGTCACCTATCAACTAGCATAACCTACCTCAGAGAATATCTTAGTTTTAAAATTAACTGCAATCGCCAAATTGATATACATTGTATTATATGCAATCTGATAACAGAAATCATCCAAACCACTATTTCGATATATGTCAGTTCGAGTATAATCTGATAACAAAAGTTAGCTACCAACATCATATAGAAAAATTATAAGATCGACCATCTTTGAATATGATCAAAATTATAAAATCAATCACTTTCGAATGTGACCAAAATTATAAGATCGACCACTTTCGAATATGACTAAAATTATGAGATCAACCATTTTTGAATAAGGTTAGAATTATAAGATCGACTACTTTCAAATGTGGCCAAAATTATAAGATCGACCATTTTCGAATGTGGCCAAAATTATGAGATCGACCACCTTTGAATGCAGCTAGAATTACAATTTAGGTCCCATGGTATAGTTATAATTCATATTAAATGATATTTTTTTTTTTTTTTTTTTTTTTTTTTTTTCCCGTAATCAAACAAGTATTTATTGTGTTTATTTAATCTTATAAAAGAAGACATAATTGTTTATAGACATTTATGCATAAACTAATCACTTATACTTGAATACCCGTCTTTGGCTATTAACCTCTAGATATGATTTTGGAGATGAATAAAGTTGCTCCCTTTCATTTTCCATTCCTGGGAAAATTCAAGTTCATCGCCTGCAGTTTATCACTACAGTTCACCTTGGCAACATCTTGATTACGTTAAATTCCTAACCATTTTTTTTCTTCTTTGATTTTGCTCCATAACACATTTGCAATTCCTGATATGTAGTCTGAACCGGTCTTTGTTGTGGAGGATTCTCCTGGCTTGGATCCTAGTGAATCTTGACAGCGGGTCTTCTTTCCTTTTCTTTTTGGATTTTGAAGATGGCTTGGGTCTTGGTTATAGGAGGAACTGGCCTTGCCCTTGCCCTTTTCCAAAAAGTGCTTTTTGCATTCTTGTACCTTTTCACACCTTGGGTTCCAGATTTGTTGTCTAATTCTCTTACACAAAAAATCCGAGATTTTATTGAGAATTCTTCTAGCTGGATTTTTGGAAATCTTCATGGATCGGAGGAGATTAGTCCATTCTCTTGAATCTTCTTTTGTCCAGAGGCCAATGATTATGTTGATCAGTTTCTTGGCCGAATCAGACTTTTCGACTTCCCATTTATTTACCAGCTCAATTATTGCCGTGATATTTGCGTCTTCCTTTTTATTTATCTGTTGAGGTATCCACGTCTTGATGAGCTTGTCTTGGACCTGGCTCCATATGTCCTTCTTTATTTCCTGAACTTTCTTACATGTCAAAAGATGATCTATGGTTTCTTCCTGAAGTTGACAAAATACACACAAGCTATTGGACGTTTCTAGGGCTCCCCTCTTAGTTAAGGTGTCCATGGTCGGAAGCTCATTATGAATGAGTTTGGCTTTGAACGTTCTGCTTTTTGCTGTTTTTATGGATGTTGTTAAGGATCCCTCCCCCTTACTAAAGTCCCATAGTCCTTTCCAGAATTCATATTAAATGATATATTTGTAATCTATACAGATTACAAATATATACTGTATATATATATATATATTTTTAAACCTTCGGCCAAGCCAAATTCACTTTATTTTTAAATTTATTCTCTGAATACATTGCTATACTCTGAAGTAAATCTGTTATAAATATATATAGTGAAAGCTATCTATAATAGTGACTTATATTGCTGAAACTTGTTTCTAATTCCCTTGGGAGATTAACTATAGAGGCTCAAACCAGTATGCTTAAGTTATACTGGTGGTCTTAAATGATTTTTCCTGCATAAATTCTATTTTCTAACCATGAAATATTATAAGGTGAGGGTAAAAGAGGAACAGGAAGTAGTACCTATTTTGGTGAATAGAATCAGGAAGAGACACCAGGTACCACAGGGAGAGGATCACCAAGCTTTCTTTTTCCTAAACCAAATGCTTTTTACACATTTTTTATTTTTCTTGCTTCCAGCGATCATTATAGCACCAATCGGATAATTGTCACACCACAACACCTTTTCTGGAGATCACAATCTTAACGCTTACCAGATTGGCATGTGAATAGGCTTCTTATAAGAAACGGCGCTTAGCAGATCATGACATCGGATACCATATTAATTCTATTCAACCGTCTTCACCTGGAGTTAAACTGATATCTTGTGATCTGACTTGTGAAGCACTAACCACTATGCTATAGACCTATAGGTCTAGATTACAAATATATCACTAAAATAAAGATCAAATAATATAATTATAAAGGTAAAGGAAGTTGAAGTAATATCTTTTTGTTCAGAAGGATAAAATAGTCATCCTTATATACAATTTGAAGTTGTATTATTATCTTTTTCTTATATATCAAAGATATTTTTTTACAAATTTGATTTTCATTTCAGAATAAAAATTCTTAAATTACTAACAATTTTATTATATAAAAAGCCTTAGTAACTATAAGTAACTATGTTCTTTATATTATTTTATTTATAATTTAATAGAGCGATTTTGACTATTTAACTAGTAAAATAAAAAGATATTTGTCTCAAAGATTGTCTGCTATATAAAATCTATAGAATTCAAAGAATTTTCACAATTTCATGAGTCAATTACATGATTACGTGATCTCCAACATCTACTTTCTTGAATTATGACATTATTTCTTTCTATAAATAATATTTTTAATAATATTTTCATAAAATAATAATAAAATAATATAAAAAGAAGATAAAATAATAATAATAAATATATAATATTAATATAATATTATAGAATTTAATTATTTTATAATAATATTTAAAAACCTAGATTTTGGATATTTATATAAAAAAAAGTTTATTAAAATTAAATCATTAATTGTTTAGAAAATTACATAAAAAACAATTCAATAAATTTTATTAAAGTTAAAAGTAATATAATTTTAATAATTTTTATTAAAGAAAATACAATCAACTTTAAAAAGAGATATATCTCTGTTATTGTCCTATTCAATTTTGTTTTAAAAAAAAATATATAATTTATCTTAAATTAATTTGGTTTATTTTTTATTTTAATGTATTAATTCTATTAATAATATTATAAAACTATTAAAATCCTTTATTATTATATTTATCTATTATTATAAATTATAATCTTTTTATTACTATTCAATATTCAATTATCAATTATTTACTTTTATTACAAAAACAATTATTTTAATATTTCTAAATTTGATAATATTATCTTCTATATATTGCATTTAAATTTTTGATCTATTTTTTTAACTAGTTTTTCACTCTACTATTCTAAATATATATAAATTCTTGAATATTAAAATTTATTTTTATATTACTTCTAATTTCAAAATCTCAAAATATATTAATAAACAAGTTAAAATTCTATATAATAGATTAATTAATATATGCAATATATGAATTTCTTTAAAAATCTTACAATTCAATAATTCAAATTAAAAACTAATAATATTTATTTAATACTTACTTTATAATATCACAGGTTAGGGTTTAAAGTAACATATTGCAAAACCTTGACTTTGTGACACTTTTGTACAGGAGTCACTGGTTTTACAAGGGGTGATGGGCAAAAAGAAGGTGTGGATTTGGTAAGTTTTGATGATTTGAGGGATATAATTGGTTGGAAACAGTGTAATAACTATAGTGATTTTTATTAGTGAACAACTTTTTATTAACTTTTTCTGATAGTCATCTCTCTTTCCTATCTGTCCTTATTACTTAATTATTATATTATATATATACTTTTCTAGCAATACAATGAAATAATAAAAATAATAGAAATAACCGAAATAAAAAAATAATAGAAATAATAGATATAACTGATATAACTAATTGTATAGAACAAGCAGAAACAACTGAAATAACTAATCAAGCTGAACAAGCAAGGTCGAAGGTAATTATCCAATTAGGCAACCTTTGTAATGAGTAATCTTCATTATGCAATTCTTAAGGTACATTATCAATCATTTTTTTTTTTAACAGTTTCTCCCTTTCTAATTGCAAGTTCCATAAGCAAATCTTTACTTGACCAGAACTTGATATTCACATATACTCAACCTTTTGATCTTGTTGAAAGTGATATTTTTGGTCTAATAGATTTGCTCTATTTCATATTTCTGGAATAGATAGTAAATCTACAAGCTTTTCAGATGATAATATGGGGTAAGACAATTCCACTATTCCATCCTCTCTATCAGCTAACCCAAGTAATATGCCATTACTAATGTTTCAGTCTGTTGATCCAAGTATATCACTCTACTTAGGCATGACAGGATTTTCATGACTTTTTCTTGTAAGTATTCTAGGCATTGTAGAGTGGTGATACAATATTCACATATGTGGACTCCGTTGTTAACAAATCCGTAATTATTCTGTTAACTTTGTCAGATATTATTTTAGAATAACTAATTAATTATTTTTTTTTTTTAAAAAAAAAACAGATGGAGAAATAAAAAAAATGAATTTGACAAAAAACAAAATTATAATCGAAAAAAAAACCATCCTATTTATACTTGTACAAAAGCAACAAAAAATAAAGAAACTAAATAAAATAATCATTCGAATTGATCGAACCAATTGAAAACATCTCTTTTTTTTTTTTCACTATTATTTTTTTTTTCAAAATTAAAGTTAAAGTAAAATAAACACTAATAATTAAAAATTGAAAATGGCAAGTGTAAAAAAAAATAATGTTCCCAAAAATAAACAAAGTAAATTATTCTCTTTTACATCATTGAACAATTTTCTTCTTGATCCTGATGATCTGTAATGATCAATTGTCTTTTTATGTTGAGCAGGTTTGTTGATGTGACTATTATATCTATATCCAAGTTTTCGTATCAATTCTTTTTGGCATTTCTTTCGATAGGTTGCAACTCTTTTCCATTTGTTCATTCATTATGCATTTCCCTTATATCATCATTTCCTTTGTCTAGTAATCTGCTATTTTCATTCTTTAAGTCTTTATTACAAGTAGGTTCTATAACTTTATTAGTAAGTTCTAATAGGTCATCATTATTCTTTTTATTTATTTTTCCAGTTTTGGTGTTTATCAGAGCTTCGTTATAGGTAATAGTGATGATGATAGTAGTACTTTTCTATAGTAGTTGTTGTTATTGTAATAAGGATACAATCGTGATCATAATTATACATGTGGTAGAAATAGGTAGATCCTTGATACAATTGACACAATTATTTGATGCAATTAATTGAGTCACTATTAAAACATATAAAATAATTGAGTCAGACGCAATTATTTTTGAGGATTTTGGCAATTAAGTCAACAGCAAAATAATTTATACCACATGTATAATCATGATAGTATTCCGGTATTTCCATTATCAGGACCGTATTCACTAGTATTGGTGAATATATATGCATGCATATATATTCTAGGTGTGCATTACCAGTTGTCGACTTCATAAGATAAAATTTTTTTTTTTCATGATTATGATAACATTCAACATTTTTAATTATTAATTGTCGGTTTTGATCAATTCAGGTAAGTTGCGATATTTTCTTTCTTTTGCGAATTTTACTGTTGACTTCTAACCTTCTCTTACCAGTCTTTTTCTGGCTCCATGCTTCACGTTTGATTCGCCATTCATGGGTTCTCCTTGACCCTCAGTGATATCCATTGTCTCTGGCATAAGCTACTGAAGTCTTGTCAATAGGTTTTGTTTTTTGCCATTGATTTCTTTGCCATTCTTTCATTGGCTTCTAACTTTTTCTTACCAGTTTTTCTCTAGCCCCATACTTCACATTCGATTCGCCATTTATGGATTCTCCTTGATCCTTAGCGATATCCTTCGTCCCTCGTATAAGCTACCAGAGTCTTGTTGATAAGTTTGGTTTTTTGCTATTGGTTTCTTTGCCATTCTTTCCTCAGATGGTTCTCTTTTCTCTAGGTACTTGTCTAGAGCTTCTTTCGGTATCACAAGTGATTTCTTGGATTGACCTCAAACTCTATAGATCTGTCATCATCCTTTATCACTCTATTATTTGCATACTTTACCATACTAATACAATATCTTTTTGTGGCTCAGGGTATATCTTTCTATTTAGATTCCCTCCCACCTCATTATAAGATATCATGTCTTCAGGTTAGTTTCCCACTTCTCTCTGATGATGCTTTTCTCAAGATTTTTTTCAATTGATCTGTTAATTTCTTGCATTCCGATAGTATCCTCGAAGCCATTATTGCTTGATAAGACAAGTTCCTTTGTTATTTTGGGTTGGGGAGAAGGCTTCACTTAATCTTTATTTTTTTAAGCATAGTGCAATGTCATTCATGCACTCATTAAAAAAATTTTTTCTTTTTTTTTAGAGGAGAGGTGCATATTTTACCAATCCTGTTATTATCAATTTTTAGGCTTCACTTTTCTTTCACACAAGCTATTTTGAAGCACCTATTGTTGGTTTGGGACTTCTTTTAGGTCAGGATGATGCTTCTTCTTTTATTCGACATATATCAACAGCCAAATCTTTCATATACATTGTCATTGGAGCAGAATCAGTTATTTCCTTTTAGATTATTGTGAATACAATGTCGTTTTCATCGCTTCTTAAACTTTCTTGGAACCATTATTTTGTTAAAAGATAAGTTTTCTTTTCTTTTTTCTTCTTTTATATATTAGGGAAGTGGCAATCTTCCTGCGATCATACCACATCCCGGCATTATCTTTGAAGGGGAGTAACAAGTGTCGTGTATAATAAAATCATGTATTACTGTGTTCTAAAAAATCAGAAGGGAGAAACGAATGTCATATTTTATAGTTCACCACTAAATCTGTCATGGGTCAGGATTTAAAGTAACACATTGCAAAAATCTTGACTTTGTGATACTCTTGTACAGGGTTATAGGTTTTACAGAAAGGTAATAGGCAGAAAGAAGGTGTGGATTTGGCAAGTTTTGATGATTCGGAGGGATATAATTGATTGGGAACAATGCAATAACTATAGTGATTTTTATTAGTAAATAACTTTTTATTAACTTTTTCTAATAGTTGTCTCTCTCTCCTATTTGTCCTTATTACTTAATTATTATATTATATATACTGTATATACTTTTTCTAGTGGAACAACAAAATAATAGAAATAATTGAAATAATTGAAATAAAAGAAATAACAGAAATAATAAATATAACAGATATAATCGATCACACAGAACAAGCAAAAACAATCGAATAATCAATCGAGCTGAACAAGTGAGGTTAAGGGTCAATTATCTGATTAGACAACCTTTATAATAAGCAATCGCATTATACAATTCTTAAGGTGCATCATCGATTATTTTTTTTTCCTAATAATAATCATTAAATCTATTTCTCAAAAATTTATTTAATCTTATTATTAATAAACAATAATTATATTACTAGTATCATTTTTTAGACCTACCCAGTCATAGTCCAGTGGGCTAAGGCAGGGTAGGGCTAACCCATGACCCACGGTTCAACTCCAGCTGGGGGACAATTCACATATCCCAAAAAGGGACTTTGTGTCACTGCCCCTGTAACTCGTGATAAAGAGCGATTTGAGTTGTCCCAGCGATCAGGGAGCCTTATGAGTAGATTACACCCCATAGGTCGAAAAGATAGATGATCTGATTGGTAAACTTTCTGATCAAGTATTGCCCGGGAAATACCTTCAAAAGGGGAAGAAGTTTCATGGGATCTTTCTGGTAGCAGAAAGAAAGGTACAGATGGCTAAAACCATTAGTCGTACAACTATCAGTAGGAGTTTCACATGTCCAATGGTAGCGAGGATCCGGTCGGGGTGCAGGAGGTTGCTTGTATCACGGGATGTTCTATCCTAAGGGGTACACTTGCGATGGTTGACTGCATGACCCCATAAAACGTAACCCCCACATGTGTTGCTAGGCTAGATTAGGAAGGGTGAGGCTGGATCCGATTTTCAGATGGATTTGGTGTACTGGTATACCCTCATCCCGCCAATGATATCTTGCTGACTAAACCCTAGTAAGTCTTGATTAAACTGAACGATTGAAATACTGTAACCGGTAATTGCAGGCATTGATCGTCAAGGCAGATAGCAAGGTCTGCTTGTCTTGATGTAGCACTTATTCACCTCCACCATCTATACTTAGAGGCTTAGGCCTAAGACAAGTTAGTAGGACCGACCTTTACCCATGTACCCTGGAGAAACATCGGGAGACTGGCAAGGTGATTAGAGGTACTTGCGCTGATGGCAATGAGTTAAACAAAAAAAAAAAATTACTAGTATCATTTTTTAAATAAAATTTATCAATTATTATATTAATTTATTTGATATTCTTTTTAATCAATTAGTTATCTACAAACTTTATTTTTTGAAAAGTTAGAAATTATAATCAAAATAAATAAAAAATTAAATCAATTCAATTAAATAAAATATAGAGTCTTGTTTATCTTTAAAATCAAACTTTTTTTCAAATTAACTTTTAATAAGATTCAAATTATATAATCAATATTTCAATTTATATCTTAATAATCTTTGTTTTAGATATAATATTGCTTTTGAAAACCTTTTATATAGAGCTTTGAAAAGTATTAAACTGTATACATATGGTATAAATTATTTTGTTATTAATTCAATTATTAAAATTCTTAAAAATAATTGCATCTGACTCAATTATTTTATATGTTTTAATAGTAATTCAATTAATTGTATCAAATAATTGCATCAAATTGCATTATGAATCTACCAATTTCTATTATATGTATATTGAACTGGTATTAAAATAATATTAAAATAATATTAATCTATAGTAAATTTAATATATGGATTGTGATTTACTTATATGAATTTATAGTAAATTTAAGTATCAAATAGGTATCAAACAAGTATCAAAGTGATATTATTAGAAGCCTTATTTTTATATATATATTTTTATATTTATAACAAATCTTTTATTATCAAAAAAAAATTTAAACTTAAAACTCTTATAATAGAATTTAATTTTAAAATTATTAAATTCTTTAATTTTAATTTTATATATATATAAATTAATAGATAATAACTTTTAAATCTTATTCTGTATAAATTTAATATATCTTTTATTTCTCTTTAAAAAAAAGAATTATATATTCAAGATTTTATATAAAATTTGAAAACAATATTTTATTATTATCATAACAATATTAATATTAGAAATCAAATAAAAAAAATAATTAATCTTAATCTTAAAAATTCTAGCAATAATAATTATATATGTTTTCATATTATTATATAAAAAAAAATTTAATTAACAATATGATTTTAAATTAAATATGATTTTTAATTATTAATTATTTAATAATTTTACTATATTTTAAATATAGTATTACTAATATTAATTTATTTACTTATTAACAATTGATATTAGCAGTTTAGTTATAATAGATTACAATTAATTTACTTTATAAAGATTATTAATATAATAATAATAAATTTATATTTAAAAAAGTATTTTAAAGTTATTGATAAAAAAACTTTTTTCTATTCTTTTCAAATTTTTGAAAAACTTTTTTTTTAGGAAATTTTAACAAAATAAATAAAAATAACTTGTTAAGTTGTTTTTTTTTTTAAAGAAACTTTTTTCTTTTTTTACTATTATTAAGAATAAAAACTCTTTTTTAAAGCAAATTTATTAGTTAATATATTTCAAAAACTAATTTCTTTTGTTTTCAGAAATAGAAAGTTACCTTTACCAATACTATTATAACTCTTCTTCTTTATCTTAAATTCTGCTATGCATAAGTCAACTTTAAGAATTTAATTAAAATAATTCAAGCTGCATAAGAATGAAACTTTTGATTAAATTTTTTAAGACTTGAATATCTTATTAATAAAAGTTGTATAAAGAAAGATTTTTGGTTTGATATCTTTTTTGCTTATATATATAAATACAAAATTTTTTAATAAAAATTAAAATTAGCTTACTTTTATTAAAAAATTGATATTATACTCCAACTAATCATATTTTATTAAAATTATATTATTAATTATCACAATAACAATATTAATAACAATAATAACACATTATATATTAATAAAAAAATAAATAATTTTAAAGAAATTAACAATATAAATATTAATTTATGGCTTATTATAACCTTTAAATAGCTTATTGAATATATAGAAGTTGTATTCTACTTGGCAATCTTGTCCTTAGACTTGATAACTTAAGATAACCAATTTTTTTAAAGTATTTATTAGAAGATTATAGGGTCATGTTCCATATGACATTTATATTTCTAGATTTGATAGTTTGTGCCAATCAAAAATTACAGTTTTAAAGCACTTATTAAAAAGTATATATTAACATTTAATTTTCTCTGAATCTATAATTGCATTGTAATATGAAAGTTATTTATTAATATTAACATGTAATTTATTTTCCTTTTCTTTTTTTTTATTCTAAAAATAATATAATCAATTATATTTATATCTAAATAATATATTAGTTTTAAATTTTTTTTCTAATATATATAGTAGTTTATATAAATAATTGATAGACTAGCATTTAACTTATATAAATTGAAAGATATAAGTTTTTGTTTAAAATTATGTAATTATTTATATAATAATAAAGAAACTAATATTTACTATAAAAAAAAAAAGTATTTTAAAGTTTTATTAATCTATAATTAATTAATCTATATATTGGAATAATTTTAATAATTGATTATTATTTTTTTTTGTAATTAATAAAAATTCAAAATTCAAAACTGTTGTCTTTTTTAATTATAATTTAATAATATTATTTTAATATATTTAAAAAAATTTTTCTTTATTTATATTTTTTATATTTTAATTAATTAATTAATTATTTATTTATTTTATTGAATTAGAAATAAAATTAGAAATATGTATATAAATTTAAAAAATATTTGTTAATATAAAGTAAATAATTATTTTTAATTACTATTATATTAAATTTTTTGCTAAATATTATATAACAATGGATGAATTTTTTATAATACAGTATATTGAATGTTAAATGGCATAAATTGACTGTAATTTAAGCACGCATTCTTTATTTGATATGGAAATGGGTAATTATTTTTGAAGGCAGCAAAAATGCTTAAATATGATTTTTTCGGTTCCTACTTTTAAACAATACATATACAATGTAAATTTTAGGATCACAATTATAGTGACCAAAAAATCCCTGTCTGCCTTCGAAAAGAATTACCCAAATAACTCATGCAAAGGATTATGCACCGATCACAGGATCGATACCGAGAATGGTTTAATAAAAAGCTGTCACTACTCCGCATATTTAACCGCACCTTTAACACTGTTTGTTGGTGCATCAAACTATATTTAACAGTTATTGCTGATGCACTAACACTGTTGCTGGTGCACCCAACCATATTTGGTAATGCCCTTTTAACACTGCTGGTGCACCAAACCATATTTAACAGTTATTGCTGCACTAACCATATTTGGTAATCCCCTTTTACACTAACACCATATATTCGGAAAGCTGAAAAACGATATATAGCCTGAACAAATCTACACTGTCCATGCTCTTCTTAGTGACTTCTATACCATATCAAAGAAATTATTCCTTTGATAATGATAAAAAATCAACTTTTTTTTTATATTGGTTGAGTTCTATACTTATTACAGTAAAAAATAAATAAATATTTTTTTTTATAAATACTAGTGACGCTATCATTTTTCACAATATCCATTGGTGTTCGCTGGTAAATCTTGTTGGAAGTGTCAGGTAGAGAAGCAAACACTTAATGATGCAATTTTTTTATTCAAAAGTTATTATAATACAGATTACTTTTATTTTTAACTATATCAAAATATGCTTTATGCTGTATTTGATTTTGAATTTCACGATTTCGATTGATCATAGCATTCAGCACCTCCCTTTTACAAGATTTATGCACAGACTTTTATATATGCTTATATTAATCGGAAGTTTACTGACAGTTCTTAACATACGCAATTCATTCCCAAAGCCGTTCGTCCTCAGGTAGTGTCTTTATAAGTCAATAATCACGTGTTTAGTTAAAAAGATTATTCAAAGAAGCACTGTAGCTAATAATACTGTACACCGATGTAATTTTCTGTCCGCAACCTCTCTGAATTCATCAGGCCTGTCGGAACATCACGAATTGAAATTTGCAAAATTTGAGTTGTTTAACGGTCTAACCCAATTTCTCGGAATCGAAAATACAATGATATTTGATAAATATCAATACATTAATTCGGTATATTTGGAACATACCAATATAGAAGGTGAAATGATAGATACTCCCTGGATGTTTTGTAAAGGTAACGATTATTTAAAAGTTAAAAAAAAACTTTTAAGTGGAACACTGACAATCTTGTATCATCGGTATATTGTTTTAGAAGTCATATTTTTTTTTATTCTTTTTTTTATTATTTATCTCCTTGGAAAAGTGAGAAAAGTTACAAAAACCTTGGTGAGTAGATACATGCATGCATTTAATTAAGATTTTGGAATTTTCTAATTTCTTAACGTTAAACTAAGATTGTCAGTCATTCTGATGAAAACTATCAGCGAATTAGAAAATTAATAAAAGATATGCACATAAGGAATATCAAATATGACGAATTTAATTCAGTAGGATACGTTGCGAATGGAAGTACATGTCGAGTTAAAAGAGCAGTTTGGGATAACGGAAATAAAAAAAAAGACGTTATTCTAAAGTTATTGAATGAAAATTTAATCCAAGAACTTTTCAGAGAGGTATTATGAATTTTGAATTAAACATTTAGTATAACGACATGAAATAACTTTGTTTTGAATTCTTCATCAGCTCAAAGTTTATGGTGCAGTAAATATGAGAGATGTTCACAAAAACATTGTTAAATTTTACGGTTTAAGGTATGTTTAAGTAAAAATACAGTATAAGAAATATGTATACGATTACTGTATTGACAAAAAAATTCTTATTTATTATTTTGTCCCAATGCATACGACCTATTCGTCTTAGTAAAAGTAAATTTAATTTTTAAATAAGGAAGTATTTAATATTATATTAGTGGTATTTAACACCTAATCTTCATTTCATACATAGCACCCGATGGATATAATGTTATAGTCCAGGAGTACGCCGAAATGGGTGATTTACGCAAATATCTAGAAAGCAAATTTACCGACATTACGTGGGAAGAAAAGATCGACATTAGCATACAGATTTCGGACGGTTTAAGTTTTCTACACATAAATGAAATATTGCATAGAGACTTGGTAAGAGAGATTTATTCTGATTCCACATTACATAAGGAGATACTGTAATATATAACTTATAATACTGTAATTTATATGGTTAGCATACGAGAAATGTAATTTTATCGGCACGTGACGGCGGGAAAGTTAGAGCGATAATAACAGATTTTGGAATGTCGAAAGTCTTGTCCCGTAAAAGTTCAACAGCTTCAGAAACCAAGGGAATATTACCATTCGTAGATCCAATAATATTAAACGAAGAGAGTTATTCAAATTTCACTGAAAAGTCAGATACATACAGTCTAGGTGTGATCTTATGGGAAATATCAGCTGGAATACCGCCATTTAAATGTTATGATAAAACTAATGTTCTAGCGGCCATATTACGTGGTACTAGAGAGAAACCAATACAAGATACCCCATGCGAGTATATCGAGCTTTATCGAAAATGCTGGGATGAAAATCCAGATCAACGTCCAAATGTCAATTATGTATTGAGAAAACTCGGGGAAAAAACAATGATTACAGGATCCAAATTTAAAGAGTGGGGAAAATGCTGCGAGAAATATCCTCATTATTCATCAATTCCTAGATGGTTAGAGACAAGTAAGAATCATTAATGCAATTTATGTTCTCTTTACTTCTATTTTCTCAAGTTATGAATCGTTAAAGTATTATTTTTTTTTTTCAGAAACTCTATTCGAATCCGATTCTATCTCCTCTTCAAGCTCGACAACAAATGGTATATACTGAATTCATATGGTGCATTGACAGTGCGAATACATTATTAACAATTTATTCTTAAGCACAAATCACGGAATTAAAATTGATAAATTCATTTCAAGATATAGATAAATGGTGCATTGATCAATCGTGTAAGTACAGTATTAATATTTCATAAATACTCTTAATTTTATACTTACCATCATTGTTTTTTATATGTTTACACAGATAGCGAGGTGATGAAATCTATAAGACAGAGTGCACCCAACTTTGCTAAATTAATAGAACATAAAAATCTTTCTATCAACGAAAATTCTTTTTCTCATTAATCTTGTACTATGTATTCAAACTTATATTCTTTTTACACTGTATTTTACTAAGAGTTCTATATTTTATGCTCTTTATGTTCTCTGCATTTTTATGCTTCTTTATATTTTTATGTTCTTTATGCTTGTTTTGTACTTATTTTATGCCTTTTATGTTATTCTTTAGTGTAATATTTCTTTCTGTATTAGCGTTATAACATTATTTTAACGCAATTAGGATTTTTTATATAGGAAATTCCACGCATAAAATCACAAACACAATTACGAAATATTGTATTAACAGTATATACGAAGCATATATTTTAATAAAACACATAATCGGTTTAATTTGTGCAAAGTGCTCTAAAACAGTGCAAATTACATAATTAATAAACGAGATTTTTCACAATAGGTTTGTTTGTTTGTCACGTATATACCTCATTGATTATTATGGAATATTGCTTTAGGGGTGCCACCAGAAAGCATCACTTCGATTATGTAGAATACTGACCTTCCTTATTGAATAAAATATTCGCTCAGAAAAATCAAAATTTTATTTGGAAATATCGAACGCCCATGTCCAGTTTCGGATATAAACCAGATTGTGAAAACATGACCTAGACAAGTTATTTAACAATATTCGTAATTTCACTCACGTCCGACGCAACCGATTTTTTGCTTGTAATACACACAAAAAAAAAATCGGGAGTTGAAGATCAAAAAGTGGCGTAATGAATGTAATGTAAAATTTTTCTTTTTTTTGATATTGAGTCTGTTAAGAGCATAGCATATTCTCACGAATCGGAACGTTTTAGATTGTTGTGAAATATACAGCATTGTGTGTGTATGGTATTATGGTGGCAATGCGTAGCAGCGATCAATATTTTTATTTTGAGCAACGTATGCATCCCTTTTATGTTACGTAAGCTATATTCCCGATTTTCGAAACGTGTCTTTAGATATGATATGGCGGCGCAAGTGGACATGCAGTCAATGACTTTAAGCGAACACAAATTTCTTAGCAAGATATATATATATATATATATATTACAAAATGATTTAATGGAATGGTAGGAGGGAACCTTTGAAAGCTAAATTAGCAAACGTGAGTAACATGTTCAATGTAAAAGTTAAAGTGGCGCTCACAGGTAACATAGTCCTTGCGACTTAAGGTGTAAATATAAATGGCATTTGAGTTTAATGGTCAAATTTGACTCGCTAAATATTCCTTACTGTGCCTAATATAGCTCAATTTACAATTGCGCGTGTACCGACGACTGAAGTTTGTTGTATTCGTGTTATTGTTTATCAATTAGCTTCGTGTCCTTTCATTTTAATTTCGTGTTCATTCATCATTCGATTCCCTTTATCACAACCTGTTGGTGCTCAAAATATTCTCGACTTGGTTTTTTTTGTAGTTTCCAATAACGTAAACTATTTTTTTTTTTTTTGAACTTGCTCGGTTACAAGAGCAACGTGACCAGATCTTTGCCAGCAAGATGTTTATATTACTACATATAACTAAAGTGTTATTTATTAAATTTTATTTTTAAATGTGCTGAATCATTGATGTTATTTTTTTTCCAGCGGATAATTATATTAATAATTTTCAATGTTATGTATAGAATGTCAATACAATAAAAATTATAATTTGTTAAATTCTAAATTAACTATATTTAAATCAATTTCATTGATAATTTTTTTATACAGAGAGTGGACAAAAGTTTATGGACAACTTTAAAAATTAAAAATTAAATTAAATTAATAGAAAATTAAATAAATAAAAAATATATTTAAAATCTTTAAAAACTAAACTTTTAAATAAAAAAATTTTTTAAATTTCTTATTTAATGACTATAATATGTATAAAAAAAAAAAAAAAAAAAAAAAAAAAAATTGTTTTTTTTTTATCTAATTAAATATTTTTTTATTATTAATTTATGTTCTATTGATTTATAGATATCTATGTAGCTAATTATATTTTTTTTAATATTTTGTAACCCCCCTTTAACCACAATACAAGCCATAATACAATGTGGCATACTCTTGATCAATTGTTTGCAGTATGCCGAATTGATTTCATTCCAACATTTTAAAACACAATCCTCAAGCTTCATTAAATTATTAGGTTTGATTTCGCAAACCCAAACTTTAATATAATGTCAAAGGTTTTCAATTAGGTTAAAATCTAAACTTCGAGAAGGCCAGTCTATAATTCAAATATTTTTATTAGCAAGAAACTTCTTTGTAATTTTCATAGCATATGATTTTATATTATCATATTGAAACCAAGGGTGGCCACTATGATCCCAATTAATTCTATCAAAATTTCAAAGGGCTGGCAGAAAATAATCTTGGAGAGTTATGATATATGATTTTACTATAAGAAAAAAAAGGTAAATCTAATTTTTTTTATTTAATAAATTAATTTTATCTTATCTTTAACTAAAATATGAAGAGAAATGAAGAAGCCAATATCGAACCATGAAAAATATCTCCAATATATATGGCTTGAGTTATAGTTAATGGTGACAGAAAGGTATTCAGTATTCCACTCTTTGTATGAATTATGCCAAATATGATATTTATTTCTTTGCTGAAATTAAGTAAATATAGACTTATTGCTCCAGACTACTTTTTAAAGTCTTGAATGGTCCAGTCTTTACGTGCAAGGTATCAGATAAGTCAGTCTTCAATATTTTTTTCTGAAAGGAAGAGCTTGGAATGAGTGATATAGCTTCTTAACTATTCTTTATATAGGATTCGACAGATGGTTTTTTTAGATACTTTGATTTCTATTTTAGCTATAAAAAGATTGGTTAGTTTTGTAACAGTAATATGTCTGTTATCCTTTTTGCCAGTAACAAGTTTTTTAAGGGTAGTATAAGTACGCTTATTAAGGAGTCGTGGTTATTCTGATTATCTCAATTGTCATATTCGCAATTTCATGAATCCAGTTTCAATAAAATGTTTTATAACATTACCTACTACATTTTTTTTGCATCTGACATTGGTTGTAATATTATAATAAGTATTTTTTTTTTATAACTATAAATTATGGCTGCTTTTTGTTCAAAAGTTAATTCTTTATTAGTAGGTATTAGTGGTTATATGAAAATTGAAAGTGAAATTTTTAAGTAAATAAAAAAAAAATTTTTTATCTAATGATATATTTTTATAAATTAAATATGTTATATATATATATTGAGTATATTTTTTATTAAAAAAGTTTAATTAATTTTTACTATAAATTAAATTTTATTTAAAAAAAAAAAAGTTGTCTATAAATTTTTATCTATTCTTTATATTTTTAAAATTTTTTAGAAATACTATATATTTAAAATAATATTATCAAATTATAATTAAAAAAATATTATCTTAAAATTTTAATTATATACATATATAAATTAATAAAAATTAAAATTAATAAAACTTTATACACAGTGAAAGTCGATATAATGGATTAGTCAGTTCCATTAATAAAAATTTTCAAAAATCCATTATAATGAAGAAATTCAGTATAGTGGATAAAATATTATAACTTGTCTCAATGTCAATCTGATATATTGAGATTTTACTTAATGTTCGTTATATCGAGAGTTCATTATATCGACTTTGACTGTGTATTAATTTATTAATTTTTTAATAAAGTTAATAAATATAAATTTATTTTTATTTTTATTTTTTTTTTAAAAAACTTTATTTAAAAAAATTTTTAATAAGACAAAAAGAAACTTTGTTAAGTTTTTTTTTTTTAAAAAACTTTTTTTTTATTATTATTAAAAATAAAATTTCTTAATTATTTTTATTTTATTTTTTATTTTATTTTTTATTTTAAGTAAATAGGCATTCAATACCTAATTTTTATTGAATCTTATTATATTTAAACTATATATCTAAACAGTTTTATACATGTTAATATTATTACTAACTATAAGTTTAATTATAATCAATTTATCTATATAATCCAATTATATGAACTTTACATAAAAAGTGGGACTTACATATTAAATGGAATTATATAGGAGATAGAAGTTCTACCATTAGTTTAAATTACTTAATCTGTTAATCCATTTTTGTTAAAGGATATCTTTTAGAAACACATATTAATACTTAATAGATCATCTTTTTCATATTATATTTTTAACTCATGTAATTATAAAAGATTTTTAATATATTTATATATTTCTTAATAAATACTTTAAAAATTATAATTTTTGATTAATATATCATAAGAACCTTAGGTCCACTGTAAACGAAACCTCTTGTCAAGGCGGTGGATAAGCTAGTTGGTGCCTACCAAGTGAATGTATTTCCCAAGCTCCATAAGAACCTTGGGTCCACCATAAGATTCAAAACTCCTGTGGTCCAGGCGGGTGGATAAGCTGATAGGAATCTACTGCTCAGGTATATGATCCTCTCTCATCAATCATATATGCTGCAGTAGTACTTTCAAGCATGTCAAAATTTTCTTGGTTTTTTCTGGGAAATTTTGCCTACCTCAGTTTGACCCTGAATTTTCTGTTACACCGGATTCTCTGGTTGGTGATTGGTTGAAATCTTGGATTGGTTGATCGACATGTAAAAGAAATGTAAACAAGACATGTACCCACACGTGCCTTACGTCGTACCACATTATAACTGATGATGTAACTGGATATAGTGAAAGGAGCAAGGCGTCAAGGTGTTCTCTTGTTAAGAAGTGTTTGGAAGTCTCCCCTCTCCCCTCTTGTGTTGGTTTCTTTTCTCCTCAAGGTCAAAGAAGGCTCTCATTAGGCTAATGATTGGTTTTGATGGGTTTTTATTTTACCAGTGCAAACTTTTCTCCTTTCCCTTTACCCTTCCCTTTCATCTTCTTGAAAAAAATAAAAATTTTATACCTTAGGACCACAGAGGTTAAGTTGGGGTGAACAGTCTTAAGTGAAGGGCTGACAATAATATTGAGATTCACAAGGAATGTGGGTCAAGATAGAGCAACTTATTTCATTCCCCTTAATCACATCTAGAGACCAGTGGCTGTTGAC